CACTTCATTCCACTGACCTCTCGTAAGACTTCCCCAGAAAAAGAGTTATTCCAGAACCCAACAACAGCTATTTCCAGGTGGATCTGAACTTGCTATATAAAGCAATAATATCTAGAAGATACGAAGGATGGATGGTATTATATATTGCAGTACACAATCTCCCTTTAGAATTGAGGTGTTCTACCTCCAAGCATCCGGGAATTTTGGCTGCTAACAGCTCAATGATTAGTGTATTCCAGGAATTGCCTTTGGCTCATGAATGCTGCCTCACCAGGTTTACATCTCCTCTTTGATAGTGGCCTGTAATCAATAAGTGGTCAGATCACAGTCCAAAGATCTAGCCCCCTTGCCTCAACTGGGTCAGTTCTGAAGAGCCATTCCAGTTCCAAAGCTCCTGCTAGAATCATTTGAGATCTCTGATGCAATACATCATATATTTAAGATTTAATATGCATCTACTTCCAAAATATGAGTTTATCAGGTTATAAACAGTATATTATATAAAACAAGAGTTAAAATTAAATCAGGCAAAATTATCTAAAATGGAGATTTGTTCATTATTTATAAAAAGTATTTATTCAGGCTATTCTGCAAAAAGGGCACTGGGTTAGGTGCTGTGATCAGTCAACCACATATTCTGCAGTTAATATGACTATGGTTTGATCCAGAGATGGCATGTACACAGCTTAGTGTAGTGTAAGAAGAGAAAAAGCCCATACAGTATTCACATCTCTAATAGATATCCATTTTTTGATTCCAGAACAGCACTATTAGATAGAAAGAGATGTTACTACTCCTATTTTATAGACAATAAATCAAGGTTGAGCAAGGTAAAGTAATTTACCCAACTAGCAGAAAATTTACTTTTTACCTTAAATCCCTTGTTTTTTCTTCTTTTTACTGCATTATGACAAATATTTGTTTGGATGATTTATTTGGAGATGAGCTAAGGAGAAATATAACTGATACTGATTTGAGGTAAGAGTGTTACCAGTTATCCAAATAGATGAGATAATATCTCAGTGAACATCGAAAAGCCTCTAGAGGACATGGAGTTTTATACCAGCTAACCATTTTGAGAATTTGATTCATCTTGCTTGATATCCTTAATTATCTTTTAAAATGTTTTTGAAATATTCAATGTCCCTGGGTTATGCTAGACACAATTTGCTAAATGTATCTTTCAAGCTTCATAGATTAGAATGATGACTTGGTTATTTGCAGACTCACTCCCTAAGTATTTCCACAATTTTGAAACTGTGACTTCACTGAAGGATGTCTATTTAATAGTAATCAACTCGAAAAACAAAGAACACAGAATTCTCTTTCCAAAATACTGAATTGCAAAATTAGACTTTTGACGAAGATCCTGCAGTGGCAGATGAATCATCAAATGGAGGTTTACCTGACTTCTCAAGAAATAAACAATATAAAAACAAAGTGGAAAAAAAGAAAGAAAGAAAAGGAGTGGCCGGAGGATTGTCTATTCTGGAGTTAGGCTAAGGAGAAATATAACTGATGCAATTTGAGGTAAGAGAGAGTTACCAGAAAGTAGCTGACCAGTGGGCCATTATTGACAGCGAGAAGAGATTCGCTTCCCCTTGATATCTGTGGATAGGCTGAGGGTCAGTTCTGGGAGAATCAATGCAAATAGGCAAAAGGGATGCTAAAACTACTGATGAGCAAGACAGACACTGGGCCAGGATCATGGGAAACACCTAAAAGGGGAAAGTGATGAGCTGGGAAGTGCACGCTGCCATCAAGGAGCCATCTGAGATGTAAAATTGTAGAAACAGAGTGCTGGAAGCATCCTTTTAACTTCTGGTCAGAGATTTGTGGCAAAGCTGTCAATCCTAAAACTGCCTTATCTCAAAGGTGAGGGGAAACCTCTGGTTCCTGAAGTGACAGTGAGGGAAGGAGAAGGAATAGGAACTGAAACAGGGGAATCAAGAAAAGACGACGAAGAACCAAAAAGGAGTAAAGAATAAAGCCCAGCAAATGCCCCATCATGAAAAGTCGAAGGCAAGATGGACAAAATCAACCTGGTGAATGAAACAGCACATATGGACAACTATTTCCCTTTTCTCTGCCTTTTTTTTTCTATCTCTGTGTGTGCCTAGGCCACCCGGGATTTATAAAACGTGTGTGTGTGTGTGTGTGTGTGTGTCTGTGTGTCTGTGTCTGTGTAACTTCATTTTTAGTCTGACATCTTACGAAACTCAATATACAGCTGGCAGCTAGAACCTAGATATGCACTCACCCAGCTTTAAGCATGCAGACAATGCCAGTGCCCCAGAGGAGGGCAGAGCTACCCTTCTATTCTGGGTCCCTGGATGACCTTGGGAAGTAGAGGATGTCTACCTGCCCTATTACTGGCAGGAGATGTTTCACCATTACCTTTGGAGTCTCTTTGCTACCACCTTTACTCTAGTTAACATGGTAACATACTTATTATTTTTGTGTTTTCCCTGCATATTAGAAAACAAAACAACCTATATCTCAAAGACTAATTGCAAAAAATAGCCACAAGGCAGAACATCATTTAATTAGAACACATGGCAGATGGTGATTTAAAACTTTTTCATTAAAACACTCAAGATGAGGCTGAAAATTTTCAGATAATAATAAAGCTGGTCGATTTCTTACGTGCTATTAACTAAGGAAAACTTAAGAAAGAGTTAGACAATAGGATCTATATCGATGACTGAGTTTTAAAAATCTATTACTACTCCAGAAAAAAGCAACTCCAGAAAAGTATATAATTAGTAGAATGTTTAGCCTATGAGGCCGGATGCGGTGGCTCAAGCCTGTAATCCCAGCACTTTGGGAGACCAAGGCAGGTGGATCGCAAGATCAGGAGTTCGAGATCAGCCTGGTCAATATGGTGAAACCCCATCTTTACTGAAAATACAAAAATTAGCCAGGCACAGTGGCACACGCCTATAGTCCCAGCTACTCGGGAGGCTGAGGCAGGAGAATCGCTTGAACCCAGGAGGCAGAAGTAGCAGTGAGCTGAGATTGTGCCACTGCACTCCAGCCTGGACAACAGAGCAAGACTCCATCTCAAAAAACAGAATGTTTTAGCCTACTTGATAATCAACTATTCTGGTGTGCATGACTGATAGCTGTGACCATAGCCTGACAAACTTGAACAGCTAGCACTAACTAAATTCTACTAAGATCATGTCCATTACAATTTAATAAGTTTAGAACAATGTTTGCCGCTATTTTGCAGTGACTTGAGAAATAATAATGATAATCCTCCATACTTCCCAGAAGGTCTGGTCTCTTTCTCCACATATCCTACTAAAAAGTATTAGATGGCTTACAGGATTCACAAGTGTTCCAAAAATAAGTTTCAGGTGCGCAAAACTACTTAATCCCTCAGCCCCCAGGTCTAGTCAGTTTGGGCATGAGGTAGCCCAAATCCCAGGGCTGGCCTATCACCCTTGAAAGTATGCACCACAGTGATATCAACACATTTTATTTTTTTATTTTTTAATACGAACCATGATATGAAAAGGGTAGGAATATGCTGACTTAGAGTTTTCTAAACATGTCCCCCAAAGTATTCAGGTTTTGTTTTTTTCTTTTTGTTTTTTTTTTGAGACGGAGTCTCGCTCTGTCGCCCAGGCTGGAGTGCAGTGGCGCCATCTCAGCTCACTGCAAGCTCCGCCTCCCGGGTTCATGCCATTCTCCTGCCTCAGCCTCCCGAGTAGCTGGGATTACAGGCACCTGCCACCTCGCCCGGCTAGTTTTTTGTATTTTTTAGTAGAGACGGGGTATTGAGCTTTTTTAAATGACCATTTTCATTTTCATATTTTATATCTCCACGTCATCTATCATCCTCAGTGATATACATGTGACCTTATGCCAAATGTTGTCTATTTTTGAAACAAACAAAAATACCAACTGAAAGTTATTGTATTTCCCCCTTTAAGTGGCCTCCTCATCATTACTTCGATTTTCCTTCTTTTCTGCGTGGGCCATAATGCCACAGAACAGATCATCCTTTCGACTAAAATTTAAAACTAAAAGCTCTTAACCACTCATTTCCCTTTCAGACAAGCTCACTGGGAACCACGCAAAGGGAGATTTTTGTGTGACTCCTCCTGTGGTCAGAATTCAGCCCCTTTCTTTCACATTCTTCTTATGGTTCAGAGCCTTTTTCTATGAGCTGTGGTTTCTGTTTCTCTCATGAGGCATTTGTTCATCCAGTGTCTGAGGTAGGATGATGTTGTATTTCTGCTAGGCTGTCTTCCAAAGATGAATCTCCTTGGCCTGGGTTACTTTCCTTTTCCATTTATCGAAATGAACCTACACCTCAGACTCTAGGACATAATTATGACAGAAACAGTTTCTAATTACAGCAGTTCACATTTATTCCAGGAAGATGCCTGACTTTAACAACTTTGCTTTACTCACATAAAGCAAAAGCTAAATCCACGCTTTTAGCTGTATAATAAAAAGAATGTCACTGATAAAATGAAGCATCTTCCTTTAATGCCCTGAAGTCTAAATTGAGAATATGTACAAAAGTCTCTGAGGGCTCCTGACCATAAGAAGGAACATTACTCAGTCAATAAGGACCTATTAAATATCTGTTCTACTCCAGTAGTGTCTGAGGGGAAATATGAGGCAGGAAAGCATTATAAATGGGCATTCTGCCTAAGTGATTTCTCATCCACTCTAGGAGAAGGAAACAAAAATCCACCCTACTGTATTTCACTCTCTGGAATCCTAGAATGTCATATCTAGAAAGGAGATCAGAAGTTGTCTAACCTACTCTTCCCATTTGTAGTTTATGAAGCCCCAGTGCAAAGATATTAAATGGTTTATTCTAGGACACCCAAGTAATAAACTCACAATGGGAAAAATAAAAATGAGTAGACAGAGCACAGGAGCCTGCCTCAGATGCAAAAGTTTTGTAACTGTTCCATGCTGGCTCCCCGACTCTCTTGGTCCATTTATGTAACTATAACAGAACATCTGAGACTGGGTAATTTATAACGAACAGAAATTTATTTCTTATCAGTCTGGAGGCTGGGAAGTCCAAGATCATGATGTCAGCATCTGATGAGGGCTTTCTTCCTGCATCATCCCCTGGCAGAAGGCAGAAAGGCCAAGAGAGGGCAAGGACAAGGGAGAGAGAACATAAAAAAGGGTCAAACTCCCCCTTTTATAACAAACCTACTTTTGCAACAACTGTATTAATTCATTCACTCAGCTTTCATGGCCTGATTACCTCTCATTAGGCCTCACTTCCCAAAACTGTTGCTTTGAGGATTAAGTTTCCAACACATGCTTTTGGGAAGACACATTCAAATCATAGCACTGACTAAAACTGGTACATAAAATTGTAACTTGGTAACTATTTCAGTAATACTTTGGAAATACAATGCTCTAGTAATATTCAGTAATGCAATGCTCAGACTGTTGCCTGTTTTCATTAACCACACTAGAACAGAACAGTTTACTGTGTACGGAATTACACATCCATAGCAGAGCTATGGTTTACCAAGGTTCTCAAGGTGAAAGTGTCAATAACAGTATATGAATTGTTGAACAGTAACTACTAGAACCTCACTGTGTATCTAACTAGCCAGTCTTCTGCATACCAGCATCAGGTAAATTGCTTTATTGCAACTCCTCATAACAGTCCCTAACAGCCAATACACTGATCCACCACTTAGATATTTCCAATTATCTCATAGTCTATCAGTGTAATTTGGTGAGCTATTATCCTCAAAGTTGGAAAAAAAGCAAAACTCTACTAGACATTTCTGAGAAAATTGCTGCCAGCAATTTGAATGTGTTGCATTGATTAAGTGAATTGAGCAAAATTGCTCTTCCCTTTTACTTTTCTCTCATCTTTATTCTACTTTTCTATCATTTCTCACCTTTCTCTCTACCTGCCCTTACCCTTAATCAATACCTACTTTGATTCATTAGAAAAGCGTTTTTCATTTCCACAGCATTAAACTGTCCACCCTCAGAGCATTTAATCATTACCTGTTTTTCAAAATGACTTGTGTGACCTACACCTAAACACTGCCAGTGAAAAATGGTCTAGATCTTCTTTTGTGCCCCCACTTTCCCCAAACACAGGCTTATCATGGCACTGCTAACATATATTTGTTTAATTTATTTAAATGATACTGCAATGGACTGTAATATCTTTGAAGGCAAAATGTCATATTCATTTTTGCATCTCCACTCCCTATCATTCCTGGCAAATATGCATGTTTGCAAAATGAATGATAATATCACTCAACTCATCAATAACCTTGAACAACAGTGTTTATTATAATACTTGGGTTGGAAATGTGAAAGGAAGACAAAAACTAAACAGTCCTTTTGGGTAGCTAAAAGAGAGAAGAAAGGGAAAAAACATTCTCCTTTGATTCAGTAGCAGTTTTCCATGGAACAGAAAACATTGCAATCTTTACTCGGATATTATATGTTTCTCTGAATGAAAGTCTTATTTTGTGTTGCATTATTTTCATCATTTGCAGTAAATGTACGCACTTTTTAATGAAGCTGTCTTTGTGTTTAATCTTACTGTTCTCTTACCGTAATTACCGTATATCTGGTAGAAAGGGTTTTTCCTCAGAGCAGATTAGAATCATAGGGGACAGAAGGAATATGGGTGGGAAAGAGAAGATGTACTGCATAAGAAAGGGTACAAAGTTGCTATAGAAGTTCTTTAAAAAAACTGATAGCTACAAATGGAGAAAAGAAAGACAGAATAAAGGAGAGAAAAGGGCCAGAAAACTCCATAGGGATAGGGAGTGGAGGGGGAAGGGAGGTGAAGAGGTAGAGAGGAGGAGAGGTAGAGAGGAGGCGGGAGGAGGTGGTGCAGTGACGGGGCATGCACATGTCTATTGCTTCATTTGAGGTTGTTTGCCTTGTTATATTGTAAAGCTCTTCATTTCATCCAATTTACAACACACATACACAGAGTTTGTATATTTCCCTTCATAACATCTACTTATTTCTCTAAGAAATGTTTTGTGTGGATGGAGACACATTTTTTAATTGTTGTTAAGAAAGTGAGGAGGAGACTAAGCTTACCTATGTCGAGGTGCTAATGATTAAGCAAACTTCTAATGAAATAGGAAAAAGAAACTTAAGAAGCAGAGGAAACCATGAAATATAAGCTCTCCAGCTCTCCAGCTCTCCCTCCTTCCAGAATTCACAGAACACTAGGTATGGTTTTTGATTTACACAGGCTACGAATTGAAGTTTCAGGGTTATTTTTACCTAGAACGTAGGCAAGAAGAAAGCCTCAAGAGAAGTGGATTACACATAGTTCTTAAGAAGAAATTCTCTAATATGAACTGAAATACAATTATTAAAAGATGATTCCAGAGAAATATATAGATTTATGCATAGAAATTTTACCAAACTGAACTCAGAACTCTCCTTGACTTCAGATATCCAATCTGTGTTTTCCTTACTTTTAAAGACACTTAGAAAATGCATCGAAGAAAAGTTGAAGATGTTTCTGGTTGTTTACAAGAAACTGTTTCAAGTGATGAATAACAGAGGCTAGACTTTAATCCCATTTGCGACAAGAACATTTGTTCTCTTTCTTCAATGAGTGATTGTGAAGTGACAGAAAGAAGTGGGAATTAAATCTCAACAAAAGTGACTTTCTCAATTGTGTCTTATGAAGTCTAGATCTCCTAGAAGTGTTTTTCATAATGGAACACAATTTTTGACTTCATAGAAATCAAAGTATCACTTTTAATCTCTCAGAACTCTATGGTTCCTGTTGGATATTTCAGACCCTCAAAATTTAATCTGGAAGTTAAACATAACAGTCCATAAAAGAAGTCCTTTATTGTTTACAAAAAAAAATTAAAACTGTCAATTTTATTATTTTGGAAACTTTCTTCCTATTGTAAGTGGTAGTCATGGGGGCTAGTTTTAGATGTAAGCTTAGCTAGGCTACGGCACACAGTTACCCAGTGAAACAGGACTCTAGACATTGTTTCAAAAAGGTGTTTTGTAGATATGTCTAACATCCACAATCAGTTTAAATAAAGGAGATCATCCTCAATAATGTGGGTCAGCCTTAGTCATCCAATCAGTCGAAAGTCCATACCAGCAAAATTGAGGTTACTCTCAGGAAGAAGAAATTCATGCTGAAGACTGCACCATCAGCTTCTGCCTGAGAGTTTGCAGTGTGCTTGCTTGTCCTACAGATTCAGACTTGCAAACCCCCACAATCACAGGAGTGAATTCCTTGAATATATTTATTTCATAAATAAATATACATGTAACCATACATATATAATCATATATATTATATAATGTTTGTATCCTACTAGTTCTGTTTGTATAGAGAACTCTGACTGATACAGTGGACAAATACTATTAACAATAGGATTGCATAATACTAACAAGAACAGAGGTGAAATGGTTATCCTAGCAAACTAATTTAATTGTTAAGTTTTTTAGATAACAGACATATAAAAATATATTCTTGAGCTAAGAAAATAAATAAAAGCCAATTAAAACATGAGGTCAAGCCATATGAAAAGATAATTTGATTACTACGCAGCCTACATCTTAGGATTATATGGAACAATAATCATCTTGGAGAAAAATATGCTACTTCATATAGTAATAAAATACGTGTCTTACTCCCCCCACCATTATAATCTCCTAGAAGGCAAAGAACACATCTTCATTTTAGGATGCCTTACTCACGGTAAGTACACGATAAATGGTTGCTAGATTTTAAAAATGAATAAATTTGTATCCTAAGTGTTATTCAACACCTATTGACTAGATGCCTCCAATGTTCCAGCACTGTGCTAAGTTTTGGGAGCAAAGTGGTACATACATTAAGTCCTCCCCTCATGAAATTGTGCTGTGGCTTACCTGACCTAGTGACTGACACAGGTGCCTAGGGATGGCATTGCCCAGGTATCATTAAAAGGCTGCTGCTGCCTTTAGCAGTTCTCTGCAAATCTGGTATGCTAAGTTCAAACAGAAAATGGGTAAAGGGTGTGATGAAGTGATCTTTTCTTAATCAAGGCTACTGCTGGGTCCAATGATGAGAATCAGGCAGAGCATCTCTTTTACATATAGGTAACATAACTGCAACAATAAATAAACATTTATAGAAAAGTCAAAAAAGAGAAAAAAAAGATTATCCTGATTTATGTCAAACTCAGAAATTAGCAGTTTATCTCCAAGAACATTTAGTTTGTCTTCTTAACTATTATCTACTTAAACCATTTTGTAGAGACAATATGGAGATAAGGACATGGCCAGAGTTGTCAGACAGACCCAAGCCTAAAGCCCAGTATCACCACCAGCTATGTGACTTTGGACAAGTTGCTTCACATATCTGAACCTCAGTGTTACCAACTATAAAATGAGAACAATACCTGACTTCCAGCCTGCATGTGTATGTGTGCGTGATCGTGCGACAAAGTACTGTGAGTACACCTAGCAGCTCAATGCCTAGTATTTGGAAAGTTAACAAAAATTGGTAATTAGATTTGATGCAGTACTTTACATTTTAAGGCTACACAGCCTCTGGGATGACAATTTCCATTAGCAAAGTTACCAGTTCAAAGGCACTTCCCTTCTTGTGACTTTCAGAATGTGCTCAAACCATTATTTTTTCCAAGGGAAAGTCTCCAGTATGTTATGGAAACATTATAAAGAGGAATTTCCAGGAAAAAAATATAAATATAGATAACAGTAATAGATGTAGATAGACTCATAAGAACCGTAGACTCTTAGACCAGGAGGAAATACTGAAGATCATTTAGGTCTCATTTTATAACATTTAGAAAAGCAAAATAACCCTTTAAGAACCCTAAGTAGTTAATGGTAATGTGAAGACAACCGATCAGTTTCAGAGATAGACCATAATCTACTACCTATCATTTATCTCCATACTTTAGAATTATTATTTTCAAAGGGGTAAATGCAATTCCCAAAACAATAGCTCGTACTTGGGTTGTCTCTGTAAAAATTACAAAGACAATTGCTTTTCCTCTATGATAACTCACACTTATTCACAGCTAACTCTATACTCTGACTTTCAGAGACAGTATCTCTCTCCAGGATGCTGGTCA